ACCTCTCCCCTGCGCCTCCCACAGACCGCCACTGCAGAGAAAGACACTTTCCCTGACAGTGGGGAGGCTCAAAGAGGCAAGACGGGATTTTCCAGACAGCTGAGCAGTCATTCGGGTAGAACGAGGTGTGAGCCATGCAGCCACTGCGTTTCCATGGGGGTGCTGGCCGGCAGGCCTCAGGAAAGCCCTCCGTGCTAATGGGGCTGCTTCCCCATTTGGCCAACAAGGTGGTGGAACAAAACCCACTGAGGCCTCTTCCCACTCTGACATTTGCTGAATGCGGGCAGTCCTGGAGCTTTGTTTTTCAGATGTGACAGTATCTGGAAAACATTTAGCTGATTATTTTGTATTTGAAAGTCAGAGACAGACAGAAAGACAGACAGGGATCTTCCATCTGCTAGTCCACTCCCCAAATGTCCACAACAGCTGGCGTTGGGCCAGGTCAAAGCCAGGAGCTACGAACTCCATCCGGGTCTCCCATGTGGGTGGCAAGGACTTAGTCACTTGAGCCATCATCTGCTGCCTCCAAGGGTGGGCATTAGCAGGAAACTGGAATACAAAGCAAAGGTGAGACTTGAACCAGGCACTCTGACATGGGATGTGGACATCCCACACTGTGCTTTAACCACTGTGCCAAACGCCGGCCCCTCTCCGGGAGACTTCTGTCACTGGCTTGTCTCAGGCATTCAGCCCCGCTGACGTCAGAGGTGACACTGAGAACAGAGTGAGGAGCGGGGCGGAGGCGGGCAGTAGGAGATGGGCGCAACCGTGCAAAGCGAATGGGATTTTCTTCTGGGGACGAGGCAGAGGTGCTGGCACTGCAAGGCCGCCACAAAACACACCAAACGCCAGAGTAAGGGAAAGGGTTTCGGGGGAAACCCGACAGATCGGAGGGAAGGGGAGAAGATGGAAAAGAGAAGGAGAGTGTAAGAGAGATTGAGAGAGAGAGAGAAACAGAGGGAGAGAGAAAGATCAGGAGATGGAAAGAGAGCCACATGTTCTGGAACAAGTCCTCTTAAAACTGTGCTGGGGGGTGCAGGGTGGGCAGGGAAGTAGGAGCAGCGAATCCCATTAGGATGGGGATGGAGCTGACACCGGTGGTTGGGCCATGGGGTCACCTGGCTTCCAGCAATGGGGGCTCAAGCCTAGGATGGTGTCGGGGATGTAGACTGTGTCATAGTTAAGACTGCGCCATTTTCCTAACAGGCACCATACTGCGAATGTGCTGAAGGCCACCGAGTTGGATACTTTGAAACTGGCAACTTTATGGGACGTGAATTTCACCTTCAATTTTAAAACCTGAATAATGTCACACTGACTCTGAAGGCCCTTCCATCTTTTCTTAGAACACAGGCCAAAACCATTCACCTGGAAGAAGAGACCTTCGTCTCCCTCTACTCCACCTGATCACGCTCCGAGCACACACACACCTGGGCAGCTGCAGAGCGCAGTGCCCACGCCCTGGCCTGCCCTGGCCTTCCCAGCCCTGCCCAGACCCTCCCCCTGCAAACCCTGGCTGACTCAGACTCAATCTCGGAAACAAGCCCTCAGGGATGCCTGTGTGCACCACCCAGTACGGCTGCCACCAGCTACATGCAGCTTCTGAGCCTGCGACACGTGACCAAGGAGGTGGATTCTAATTAATCTGAATTTGAATAGCTACGTGTGGCTGATGCCTGGCAGAGCAGACGGTGTTAATCTGTATCCACAGGACCTGAAGGACTTGCTACTGTGGGACCCATCCCTAGCAGGTCTGACTCAGCAGCTTGGGGGAGGAGGGAACTCTAGAATTTGCATTGCTAACGAGTTCTGAGAACATCTTAAAGATGCTGGCCTGGGCACCCCACCCTGACAATCACTGGCCCAGAGTTACAAGTTCTGGATTCAGAGGCCTCCAGTCCCCTGTCTAAACACGGATGCTCTCAATCGGTAGTTCTCAAAGTGTGGCCCCTGGACCAGCACATTGGCGTCACCTAGGGTTATCTTAGAAGTGCCACACCTTAGGCCAGCGTTACGGTAAAGTTGCTGCCTATGACTCCAGGATCTCATATGGGCACTGGTTTGTGTTCTATCTGCTCCACTTCCGACCCAGCTCCCTGCTAATGACCTGGAAAAAGCAGTAGAGTTTATTTATTTATTTGAAAGGCAGAGTTACAGAGAGAGGGAGAGAACAGAGAAGAAAGATCTTCTATCTGCTGGTTTATTCTCCAGATGACCACAACAGCTGGGGCTGGGCCAGGCCAAAGCCAGGAGCCAGGAGCTTCTTCCAGGTCTCCCATGTGGACGCAGGGGCCCAAGCACTTGGGCCATCTTCTGCTGCTATCCCAGGCCCATTAGCAGGGAGCTGGATCAGAAGTGGAGCAGCTGCAAATCAAACTAGCACCCATATGGGATGCCAGCATTGCAGGTAGCAGCTTAACCCACTGTGCCACAGCGCCAGTCCAATTTGGGGGATCTTTTTAATACCCAGCACTGAGCACAGTTCCTGGCACAGAGCAGGCACTTAACATGTAGAGGAATAGGACAGAGTAGGCGCTCCATCCATGTCTGCAGGAGGAAGGGAGAGAGGGTGGGCTGCAGGGTGCCAGCTACTGAATGTGTTTCTCAGTGGGCAAAGTTCTTTGAACAACCCAGAGCCTCAATCCGTGTTCTGAAACCCGACTCGCTACTGCAACACTGCCTGGTAAGGAGCTGGGGAAGAGACAGATAAGGTGAGTCCTCGGAGATCAGCAGGTTGTCTTAGGGAACCAAGAGCTGTCCACAGAGGAACAACTGGCCCACAGCGTTGCCCCCATGTCCTTTCAAAGGTCACCACAAAACACACCATCACCGGAATAAGGGAGAAGGTTCACTGTCGGGTGGGGAAACCTGACAGGCTGCCTCCCCGTGCACAAGAGAAGAGCCACCTGTACTTGGAGAGCAGGTCTCACATACATAGCTGTGCAGAGGTAAGGAAGTGGGAGCAGCAAATCTCGTCAGGGTGGGGCTGGAGCTGACGCTTGTGACTGGGCCATTTGGTCACCTGACTTCTAGTAAGCCAGGCTGGGCTTGGGAAGACGGTACCGTTTTACTAACACCCTTGGTCTCCTTTCCCTCTGGACTGTTACTCAGGAGAAGTCGACCCCAGGAGGAGCCAACTCCATGCCTCCTTTCCCCGGCTCTCGAAGCCAGCACTGAAGCCCAGACCGCAGCCTGGCCCTAGGGTGTCCCGGAGTGGGAGGAATTACAATCAGCTCATGCAACAAGCCACTCCCAGTTACAATGCAGGCTATTGCGGCTGGCAGGCAGTACACATATCTCATCCACCTCCGGTTCTCCAAAGCAACTTTGCCCCGCCCAATGCTCTCCAGGAATCAGACCTTGAAGTCTCTGCATTCTTCAACTGGAATGAACCAGAGATCAACAGACAGAGAGGAACACCATGTAACAGCCCAAGAGATAAAGCAGCCAGCTTACTAAGCAGGTGAGGGAGAGGGGCCGCTTAGTCCTCCTGACCCCTGACTCAATTTCCAGACATAAGAAGTGGCTACCATCTTACATGCTCATACAGTTAGCTCTCAAAGGTTCTCATCTAAGGGATACCAGGTCAGAGCTGACAAACAAAAACGAGAGCTCAGCGCTTCCTTCTCGCCATCAGACACCAGGCACAGCCAGTTTCCAGTTCTAGGTAACTGCCGCTCTCCTGCCCACTAGCAGGAAAGGGAGCGTGTGTCTTCTGACCCAGGGACAGCTGGGAGCCACAGCTCAGCAGGAAGCCACACAGCAGGAACACCTAGCCCCAGATACACAATTCTGCCACACACATTCCTCAACATGAGTAAGCTTGCCAGGCGCCACTTTGATCCCTGGAGATACACACACCTGCTAAAAATTCTAATTTTTGTGACACAAATAATACACTAAAGGCCTCCTTCCCCTACCCAGAAGGGATTACTGCTAATCATTTATCCCTTTATAGTTGCTGCTCTCAAGATTTTCTCAGAATGATACACTTATCTTTCTATAATAGAATTAGATTTTACATATACCTAAAGTATCAATTAACGATATGCTTTGTAACGTGTTGTATTCGCTGAAAAATATTTCATGTAAATGTTACCAGGTCAATAAATAAACAGGGTGTCAGAATGAACATCCATCCCCATACATCACTGTGCACTTGGCTGATTATTTCCTTACAACGAATTCTCACAGGAGGAATTGATGCATCAAAAAGCATACACATTGTTTAAGCCTTTGGTGCACCTGCCAAGTTGTCCTCAGCGTGGTCGTTCTCTCGAAAGTCAGGGCTTTGCGAGCAGATGGGAGCTGAGCTGGAGGCTGGAGGATGTTTGGACAGGGACAGAGGCGGCAGTGAGAGGCAGTGTGGTGCGGTGGGGAGAGCACTGACTAACTTCCGGGGCAAGCCTGGCTCCATCCTCGCAAACCGTATGGCTGTGCACATGCTTACCTCCCTGAATTCTTTCTTCATCAGCACATGGAGCTACTGCTCCCTTCCTTCCACTATTACAGGGTCAGAGACAAGGCACATCATTAGCTTGCAGAGCTGTGCACTAGGTTTTTGTTGAATGACTGAAATGTATGCATGTTTAGATGCAGGGAGGGATGCCGAGAGGAAAGAGAGGAAGCCGAGCGAGGGTGGCAGGAAGACTCTAAAGGGAAGGCTAATTTGTCAGAAGGTTGTGACTAGACTGCCGGGGAGAAGGCCACTCCCTATGCAGGTATCCATGGAGAAGAGGGGAGAAAGGCATGATCCAGGCAGAACACTCTTCCTTTTTTTTTTTTTTCTTTTTTCTTCTTATTTTTTTTTCCTTTTTTTATTTTTCTTTGAGAACACTCTTCCTGTCCCAACCTGCTGCTTCTCTGGGAGCTGGTGGCTGGCGAGCCACTGTTCCCATTTCCAACGATGCCTCCTAAGATCCAGAGGCAGAATCCCATGCCCCAGCCAAGGCCCCCCAGCACCCACAGCGGGATCCACTGACCCCAGCTGAACGTTCTACCTTGATGTGTTTGCCACGATCCAATGAAGGGCCCCACGCTGCCTGCCAGCTCACACTTCTGATCCCAGGGGCCGTTGTCTCCTAGAAACCAAAAAAAAAAAAAAAAAAAAAAAAAAGGCAACATGGACTGATGGACTGGTCAAGAGGCTGTGTGAACACTTTCACCGACATTCATGGGTCCCAGAGCCCTGTACAAGTAAGGGACCTGACAGAAGGACTGTAACAGCAAACACACTCAACTCGGAAGCCCTACCCTTACAGAACTCAGCTTCAGACAGCAGGGGGCTTTCCCTGCCCCAAGCCAGCTCCATCTTGAGCCCCCCGCCTTATGGCCCTTTGCGTTTCTACACAGTGTCAGCAATGCCACTGGCACTGTCATCAGCACAGGCCCTGCAACTATTTAATGAGCACCTATTATGCACCTAATGTTTCTCACATATCACACTGGAACCTTCCAAAACACTGAGGGGCAGATCATTAGCAGATAAGGAAATGGGGACCAGAGGCATGAAGGTCACTTTTCCAATGGTACAGATGCAAAGCTAGGTCACCATGTGACCCCAAAGCAGTGCTTGTAACCACCGCCCTTGCTCCAGATAGGACCTGAGACATACAAGGCAACAGGGCCTACAACCTTTATAGGAAGGGCATTTGGCTTAGTGGTTAGGATGTTGTTTAAGAGGCCCACATTTCACATTTCACATTTTACATCCGAGTACCTGGGTTTTCAATACTCAGCTCCAGTTCCTGATACCAACCCTGCCAATGTGGAACCTGGGACAAAGTGGCGATGGCTCAAGCATATGAGCCACTGCCACTCACCCGGGAAACCTAGACTGAGTTCCCACCTCCCAGCTTTGGTCCAGCCCAGCCTCAGCTGTTGTGGGCATTCAGGGAGCAACCCAGCAGATGGGAGCTTGCTCTCTCTGCCTCCCCCCGCCTTCCTGCCTCTCAAATTTAAACAAAGTTTTCAAATAAATAAATAAAGGAGTCACTAGCTCAGCTCTCCTTAGGCCATTCAGCCAAAGATCTGGTGGTTAGCATCGATCGGAGACTACGGGCCCAGGGAGCACGGTGAAGAGGGAATCTTAGAACCACAATGAAGCACAATTCGCACCTGGTCCTACAGATGCACATAAGGCCACCAGGTACCTCCTCCCACTATGCAAACCTTCCCAAAACTCAGCCTTGCAGGGCGCAGGGGACAGGCACTCAACATTCAAGCCAACAAACATCATCAGGGACCCAAGTTCAAAGCCACTCCTTATCCTGTTGAAGAAGATCACTTGGCCAGACTCTGCTCTTCGAGGCATGTATGCAGGGTTATCCATTAGACGGCAGTTAGTCTGGATGGCTTTTATTACTTTACCTGTAAACCACAGGAATGTGTTTTCTTTCACTGTGCGGTCAACTTTGTCCTTGAGCCTGCCCACAAGCCTGTCCATCTCCTGGAGACTCGCGAGGTACGGCTTTCGGCCCTGTGGGTCTGCTGGTGGCTGGGTCGCAGGTAAGGGCACGTGCATGTGGGCCAGGCCCACGTAGAGCAGGAAGGGTCTTCCACTGGCGCTGAAACAGGAGAGCCAAGAGGTCACCGCACAGGAGGCCCTGCTGTGTGTCCCCAGCCCTCTTCTTCCCCGAGAGCTCAGGAGGACACACTTACTTGGTCACCAATTAATAGACCTTTAACACTTCCTGCGAGTTAATTACTGGGGACTCAGGCTGCCGAGTCCATCCTTACTATAACCACCCAGTTCTGCTTTTCAGATGAAGAAGCAAAAGCCAAGGGAGAGAGAATGTCCCAATGAGCGACCGAGCCTGGATTTGAACTCACAATCTGGCTGAGAGCAAAGCCCTTGCTTCTAACTGCTCTGGAACCCAAGCGTATCTTCCAATCTGCAGCATCCAGACTGTCACATTCACTCCCAGCCTCGCCTCTGCCTGGGAGATGCCTGGATGGCTCTTGCTGACCACAGAGACTTCCAAGGGTGCATGGGACCACCCAGGGAACAGCTAGATCAAGGCTATGTTAGAGGCCCAGGCATGTGGCCACCTCTCTACCACCCCCTGACCCCCCCGGGAGGTACAGAACGAAAGGCTTGGATGGGGCCAGGCTGGCTTCCAGGCAAGGGCTCTGTGGTCTCTGCTACCTGTCCGGGCTTCCGTCTGTCTCCCACCCCCATTCCTGGGCAAAGGCAACTGCAGAACCACAATCTTTCCCCTTCCAAGCCCACACTCAGGGGAGGGGCATTGTTCAGAGAACACAGGGGAAGGGTGGTGGGAGGGCTCAGTCTAGTACGGCCCTGGGATGGTGATGGAAGCTTGGCCCCTGTTACACCTGTCATCCGAGGATCACACCTGGGCCCCGGTGCTCCCACCAGTGCACCTGTTCACACTACCCCTCAGCCTCAGCTCTGCAGCAAGCCCCGCCTCTCAGAACCCTCCACATCCCAGCTCCCAGAGTCTGCTCCTTGTGACAGTGCTTGCCCTCAGCTCTCTGCTCTTATTATTATTATTATTTTTTTTTTTTTGAGAGACACAGAGCTCCCATCTGCTGATTCATTCCCCAAATGCCCACAACAGCCCTGCAGTGAGGCTGAAGCTGGGAGGAACCCAATCCAGGTGTCGCACATGAGTGGCAGGAACCTAAATACCTACACTTGATCTTGGCCAAAAGGCGGAGAAGCGATAGGAACCTAATTACCTGAGCCATCACCACCGACTCCCAGGGTCTGCATGAGCAGGAAGGAGGCTGGAGTGAAGAGCAGAGCTGGATCTCGAACCCAGGTACTCTGATGTGGGAGGAGGCCAATTAACCAGACGCCCCCGTGCTCGACTACCTTGGACAGACATAAACCAGGACTCAGTCTCCAGATGGAGGCCTTGACCTTCCTATCTCAGCAGTTTCCCTACCACACTTCTTGTGCTATTTCTCACAGTGCAGTAGCCACTAAGCGCACACAGCTATTTGGGTTAAGTTAAGGAACATTAAAAGGTAAGGGCCTCACATGCTACAACATGGATGAACCTTGAAGATATTATGCTTAGTGAAGTAAGGACAAATCAGCATATGATTCCACTTGTATTCCTACCACAGTAACATCCAGAGTCTTAGAATGTGCTCCTTAAAGCACAGGAAATCAAAGCAAAAACGAACAAATCATCACCAGAGTGAAAACTGACAGAATGGAGGAAATATTTGCAAGTTATACACCAAACAAGAATAACCAAAATATATATAAATGTATATAGATACCAAATATATATACCAATATATATAAATGTATATATAAATAAATGTATATATATAAATGTGTGTGTGTACATATATGGGCCCAGAATGTATAAGGAGCTCAAACAACTCAGCAGTAAAATAAATAAATAAAATAAAATGGCCAACAGCTAAGTGAAAAGATGCTCAGCCTCACTCATCAAGGAAATGCCAATCAAACCACAGAGATATCACCTCATTCCAGTTAGATGGGCTCTTATCAAAAAGACACAAGATAACAAGTACTGGCAAGGATGTGGAATCAAGAACCCTTGTACACCATTGGTAGAAATGTAAAGTAGAGGGGCTGGCATTGTGGTGCAGCAGGTTAACACCCAGCCTGAAGCGCCGGCATCCCATATGGGCACCGGTTCGAGACCTGGCTGCTCCACTTCCAATGCAGCTGTCTGCTATGGCCTAGGGAAGCAGTAGAAGATGTCCCAAGTGCGTGGGCCCCTGCACCTGCATGGGAGATCCGGAAGAAGCTCCTGGCTCCTGATTTCAGATCAGTGCAGCTCCAGCTGTTGCAGCCAACTGGGGAGTAAACCAGTGGATGGAAGACACCCCCCGCCCGCCTCTCCTCTCTCTGTGCAACTATGACTTTCAAATAAATAAATAAAATCTTAAAAAAAAAAAAAAAGAATATGGAAACAGGGGCTGGCACTGTGGCACAGTGGGTGAAGCTGCCGCCTGCAGTGCCGGCATCCCATATAGGCGCTGGTTCGAATCCCCACTGCTCCACTTCTGATCCATCTCTCTGCTATGACCTGGGAAAGCAGTGAAATATGGCTCAGGTCCTTGGGCCCCTGCACCCATGTGAGAGACCTGGAAGAAGCTCCTGGCTCCTTGGCTTTGGATCAGCCCAGTTCCGGCCATTGCTGCCATTTTGGGGAGTGAACCAGAGGATGGAAGACCTCTTCTCTCTTTGCCTCCTTCTCTCTCTGTGTAACTCTGTCTTTCAAATAAATAAATAAATAAATCTTTAAAAAAAAATAATCTGGAAACAACCTAAGTGTCCATCCGCCGATGAATGGATAAAGAAAATGGTGCACACAGCACAATGACTACTACTTGACCATAAAAAAGGGTGAAATCCTACCATTCACATCGACATGGATGGAACTGGGGTCATTATGTTAGGTGAATGAAACCAACTACAGGAAGACAACATCACATGATCTCACTAATGTGTGATGCCTACAAATAGGTGATATTATAGAACTTAAGAGTATAATAGGAGCTGGTGTTGTGGCAAAGCAGATTAAGCTACCACTGCAGTGCCAGCATCCCCTTCAACCCAGCTCCCTGCTAATGTGCCCAGGAAAGCAGCAGCAGATGGTCCCAGTGCTTGGGTCTCTTTCACCCATAAGGGAGACCCAGAAGAAGCTCCTGGCTCCTATCTTCAGCCTGGCCCAGCCCTGGTCATTGTGACCGTTTTGGGAGTGAACCAACCAGGTGAGGCTCTCTCTCTCTCTGTCTCTCCCTCTCTTTCTGTAACTCTATTTTTCAAATACATAAATAACTCTCTAAAAAAAAAAGAGAGAAAGAAAAAAAGAGTATAGTACTGGTTACCAGAGGATGGGGAGAGCAGGGAGAAAAGGATGGGGAGAGGCTGATTACCAGGTACTAAGTTATAGTTAGATAGGAGTAAGAACCTCTGGTGTTCTACTGCACAGTAGTATAGATAATGCTAATGTACTATTTGTTTCTCTAAAACAAGTTAGATGAAAGGATTTTGAATGTTTTCAAAACATGCACCATAGGGGCCGGCACTGTGGCATAGCGGTTAAAGCTGCCACCTGCAGTGTAGGCATCCCATATGGGTGCTGGTTCAAGTCCCTGCTGCTCCACTTCCCATCCAGCTCTCTGCTATGGCCTGGGAGGGCAGTAGAAGATGGCCCAAGTCCTTGGGCCCCTGCACCCCCATGGGAGACCGAGGAGGCTTCTGGCTCCTGGCTTCAGATTGGTGCAGCTCCAGCCATTGCAGCCAACTGGGGAGTGAACCAGCGGATGGAAGACCTCTCTCTCTCTCTCTGCCTCTCCTTCTCTCTCTGGGTTTGAGGAGATAGGTATGTTTACCTCAATCAGACATCATGCAGTGTCTGTATGCATAGAGAATAGCATGCTACCCCATAAAATATATAAGCTTTATGTATTAAAAATAAAATGAAAAAATTTTCCCATCCTGTTGGCTGTCTCTTCACTCTATTGATCATTTCCTTTGCTGTGCAAAAGTTTCTGAAAAAATATTGGCAAACCACCTCCCTGATAAATCATTAATATCCCAAATATATCAGCAACTTAAAAAGCTCAACAACAAAAAACACAACCAATCCAGTTGAGAAATGAGCAAAGGAATTCAACAGACAGTTCTCGAAAGAAGAAATATAAATGGCCGCCAAATATATGAAGAAATTCTCAACATCATTAGCTATTGGGGAAATGCAAGTCAAAACCACAATGTGTGTGTGTGTGTGTGTGTGTTTGAGAGTATTACTTCAAATGCTCAGGAGCCACAGATGGCAGTGGCTACATCTTGGACAATGCACTTGGAGAACATTTCTCTCCTTCTAGAGAGTTCTATCAGATAGCACTGATTGACAGTACCTGCTCACTCACCCAGCAATGTTAAAGCACAGGAGGGCAGACTATCTTGCATAAGGATGTCCCACCAAGGGAGCGAATGGGCACTTACTTCTTGCCCACCATCCAAGGCCAAGCTGGGCACCCTGAACAGGGCAGTGACCCCCTGGGGGGATGGTAGATGCCACAGTGCAACAGTATGCTAGAACCGACTCAAATTTCAGCAACGTTTAAGCCAGCTGTAACACATGATCACTGCTAAAAATTCAGTTAGGTAAGCTTATAATGAAATAAATTATATGAAAAACAAAGGTGATAGAACCTCACAATCTGTCAGTTCCCATTACATTGGACTGTTCTCTCTGCTGTTGAGGTTGTCTACATCTGCTGTGTCTGTGCGGTGGAAACTTCACGTAACAGCGTGCTACTGCCCAGCACAACTCCACCTTCAGCGACGTCTCCTTGGGAGCGTGAAACCAGCCACAGTGAGAACATTATACCACAGAGACTGGCAGATGCCAGCCATGTGACTGGCTGTTAAACCACTACCAGCTCACTGCTGCATATGGGCTAGGCTAGGTCCCAAGGTCTATCTTTCGTCCCATCCCCCACCATCATCCTCCAAACTCCTACCACGATCAAAGTCCTATTCGAACCCTGGACCAGACATTCAAAGAGCCAGGCATGAATGAGGGATGGCAGAGTGGACCAATGA